AGCCAGATTCGTTAAGAGCGAGTAGGACATCGTCGAAGGCAGGACTGTGTTGACCACATCTTCACACTACGTCCGTTGCTGGAACATCGTTATATGCGTTGGTGACCCAAAGTATTCGTTTTCCTCGACATCAAGGGTGCCTTCAATTCGGTGAATCGGTGGGCTCTTTTGGACTGTTTGATCAGGAAAGGTGTGTCCGAGAAATATGTATACATTCACAGAGCACTTTGGGCGTATATTCCTGGAAGAGTGAGGGCTTATGGCAAACCTTCGCCGCCCATCAATATCTCTATCCGTGTAAATCAGACACCTGTTGTCACATTTATTCTTCAAAATCGCCATCGACAAAGTCATGGAACCAATTTGAAAAGTAGGGAGCTGTTCCCAGATGATAGACTTTTTGTCTTAGCGTATGCCGACGATATTACACTGTTCTGTGACAGCTAGCAAAAGCGCCAAACAGTGCTACACAGATTAGCTCTGGCAGTCAGTCGTTTTGGGCTGCTTTTTGCACCCTCCAAACACAAAGCATTCCACCAAGCTTAGCAGGATCACCGCCCCACACGGAACAGTGGTTGGAGTCTGCTAGAAGTCATGCAAAAAGTCAAATACCTGGACAGCTACATTAGCGCATGTGGGGTCGAAGATATAAGCACGAATCGAAAATCAAATGCTGGATGTGTTTTTGGCTATCTTCGCTACTTTTGGCGCAGACGCGACATCACTCTCGCTCTGAAGAGTAGCGTCTACATTGCAGCCATCCTTCTAATCCTACTATACCTTGGTGAAAACTGGCTTATCAAATCGACCGACATAAAGAGTCTTGTTTGATTCAACCATCGCTGCCTTCGCAACTGAACTCATGCCTGGTGGGAAAACCACGTGAACCATGAGCGTGTTCAGCGCCGCGTATATGGTGCAGGACAGAGCGTTCAGCACCATTAAATCACGCACCAGACTCCGATGGCCGGGCCACGTCTTGCGCATACCAACACACTGACATCCGCGATGTGCGTGGTTTGAGCGGCTTGGGTGTGGATGAGAGAAGAGAACGGGAAGCCGACCGATGAATCGGTCAAGAGGACTGGAGTCCCTCATTTCGAATTTGGCCTAGATCGGTGTCCGCTATTGTCTGAATGGGTTCATTTAGACGGTGAACCCCTTTGATTGGATACGGTTGATTACATTGCAAAGAACAGACCCCAAACAAGTATGTGTTGCGAATTTCTTTGTCGCGCTGCATCCAAGTTAGCCACTCTCCAACCACGATCTCGATGTTAGTGCATAACATGATGCAAGTAGTGATGACATTCTTCGTTTTGTATTGCTTTCTTGTTTTTGATTCCTTTGCTATTTTACTTCCGGCAGATTGAATTGTACTGGGGCTCAAGAGCTGGAGGGTTTCTCTGCCACAGTGGCATTAGGATGATGTTGTGTTAGAGCACAGTGACTGCTTCCGCCCACTAACGGTAATGAGAACACGAACGACCAGAGACAATGATTCTAGGGTTCTTTTACATAGGGAAACCACTTCGTTATGTAGCATAACGCACAAACGTGAAGTTAACCAGAGGATTGAAAGCGTGCAAACCATTAAAGTCAATAAGAACTGAATAAAGGAGGTGACATTCAGGTGTACAAAAAGAAGCTAAAGTGAGAGTGGTAGGGTCAGAGTATGGCGGCGAATTGAAGCCGAAACAACGACCCCAAATAGCCAATAGGGATAGCGAAATGATGCGTTAAAGTAAACATCGGTGAACCCCCATAGCAAAACGGAAGTCTGCAGTCATGAACGGCTACACATGAATACCTGTATTTGTATTGCTCCTCTAACACTTGTTATTGACCCAAAACCCGTCTTATAGTCATTATTGTACCAAATTTTCTACACGGAAAAGTGTGGCACAGTCACTATACTGGAGCAAAAGGTTGATCCAGTTGCTAGGGCTAAGGATAGCTCCGTAGACTATGTGTATTCGTGTTCTACTCCGAATGAATAATGGTGCTCATGCCGAACGAAGATTCCTGATTTCCAACGCGGAAGTGGTCAAGTCACTGAACTTGCCTACAAACTTCATACAGTGGAACCATCATCCAAAAACGCTCAGGTCGTTTCTCCAACCTGTTCTGTTGGTATGTTGTAATGCGTGATTATAAAAAATATCAGTGGGTCCATGTGGATACTCCGCATAACACATATAGTCGGAAAGTATCGTCACTGACCACTCAGCCCCAGAGGACTCTCCATATTTGATTCATCGATCATGAGTTACTTGTTCGTGAGTACCGAATGAAGCACCAATGGTTTGTTTCCCGCTGTGAACCAGGTGGGTGGGCTGACATGGCTGAAGAGCAACCTGCTTGCAGTTAACCCCAGAATTAGCCACTGGGGATACCGGAGCTTCCAGCTCGTGAACCTTAGAGTCACCTAATATAAGAAGATGGCTGTAGCGTCTTCGCAGGACCCTTCCCAAGGCTAATGTTAGATGAGTGTCCGTCTCTGGGGTGGACATTGGGGGCGGTAATCAACTCCCCCAAGGCAAGTGTCATTCCGTCTCAGTCACAGATGGCTCCACAGTTCATGGTCAGAGTTTCTGAATCATCCGCCGCGTCGCACTGCAGGTCACTGCAGTCGCAGCTGGGATGATCTTTTCGAACAAGTGACATACCACATATCGCGACTTCAATGTCGCTAATTTCTGAATGCAAGGAAGCTTCAGTTACGAAAAAGAGGTACCAAGCATATGATGCTCGGCCTAATCGTATTTCAGCTGGCTTGTACAGGAGACTTTATGTGCCTGCATACTTACAGAAAAGCTTCGCTGATCTCTATCGTGAGTCGAGGGACATGTGACTTGGGTTGGATGTTGGGCCGGCAGGGGAAAAGTCGGCCACTAATCATATTTTGGTGGGGCAGTGACGAATTAATTTGTGTCAGATCCAGTAATTCCGTCATTTTCTTCTTATTTATCATTTTATGTTTGACGTATGGGGGGAATAACCAATTTCATCTACTAGATGATTAATATTATCTGAACCGTAGTCGGAAAGTGGCTTGATTAAATTACTCCTGTCATGCGTTTCCTTAGGGGATGCCGCTCTAAACTGCAGCTCAGAAGATAGTTTGCCGTGATGTGCTTACAAGCAGTCCAATAGCCTTACTGACATTTGGATTAGAGTACCACCTTTACAACCCTTGGGCCACATCCTTCGTTACTTGGTAATATACGTAGCCCACAACGTTTTCTAAGGACGGTGTCCCGTAAATGCATCGCCACTGTCTGTCGATTCGCGCTCATCACATCCTCCAGCTTTGGGAAAACCGAGAAAATGGGTGGTCCCGATTACGAATTCCTTCCACTATTTTTTGAAAAGATACGGACGGAACAAGACCCATTCCAGAGGCGAACTGTCGCCATCAGAACTGTTTCTGCTTTAGCGGCGGAAGTCAGCAAACCTCGAAGAAGTCTCGATTCACTATACTTCTTTGGGTTTTGATGACGGGTGACTAGCATCAGGTTGGTGACCTACTCTGCAACGACTAGGCTGTTACAAATGAAGTTCCACTGGCTCACGTCATCGAGCTGCTTTCCTCTTACGATGACATCGGTTCGGGGACATTCGTGTGGCTCATTTAAGGTACACTATGTGGAATCTCAACGACCGCTTGGGCTGTTTGGGTTGATGTCGACTGCCCCTATGGTCTGCATACAATCCGTAGAAACTACAATGGTACAGGTTCGCCCCCTCACCTATGCTGGACATAGTGCGATACCGGAAAATCTAAATTTCCGGGTGTCTTTAGTAGGAACCACGTTTCGACAAACACTGTTGTCAAAGCCATTCTGCGATTTTTTACTAGTTCGGAGGTCGGACGAAGCGCAGGTCGTATTTATCCCAATCGGTAATGGTTGACTCACGCCTACGTGGCCTTTGGTGGCACTAACACGTTGGTTGATGTTCACATCTATATGTGACGTAACGGGCTGCCCAGCCTCTTTTATCAGACCTGAAGCTGGACCTATTATTGAGGACTGAGTCTTCTCTGTCATGGTTTCACCTAGTGAGGCGAGGATAGCGTGCCTCATTTGTTCAATCATAGCCACTAGTCTTTCGTACTTCTGAGGCAGTTCATGTAGAGCTTTAACTTGTGAGAGGACCGTACATGCTGCAAAAAACCACAGGGAGTCTGCTCCGCTATAGTACCGCGTCACTTCCTTTGAAGAGTGCGTAGCACACTTAGGGCGGTGATGGCTATGCAATTTGAAACGTACAATACCTGTTCGTACATTTTGCTGAGATGGAGCTTGCCCACATACTCTCATCAATTTGGTAGTGCCAGCCTCGACTTCTTTTGCTTGGTCTTAACATCCCATTGCCTTAGCTTGTCTGTCGCTCAATGTATCTCGGGTCAAGGACAGAACGCTTGAATGCAAATCAATGTGAGTGCGCGCAACTGTGGTTATCTACTCAACCCTGAATTGGCATGACCTGATGCGATCGCACTCATAGCACGACGGATGCTTCACAAGACATTGCGGGGCAGAATAAGGGACTTCTTCTCGCGCCCAGAAGTCAGTCGGTGAAGTAATCAAAACGACCGAACTCTAAATGACTTAAAAGATTCTATAGATCCTTCACTCGGTGGTCGAGAGCTGACGGCAATGGCCAGGTTTAGTATTTTGTTTGAGACTACAAAGATTTATGTGCGGCGCAAGAGTTGGAAAGTTGCATTCGGCTGTTTCTGCAAGCGAGGTGCAAAAACTGCGACGTGGAACTGTAAGGTGATCCTCATAAGTTAGATTCAAAAGATAACATGCACAAAATTGCGCTGCTTATGCAGGATGGAATAAGTGAAGACAAGCGTGTGTGCCGTGAGAGTGGAGGAAGTTGATCCGAGATAATTACGGAGGCACAGAAATTACGACCGCGCGTTAGAGGCACACACTATGCTTCCCAATCAAATTGAGCAAAAGAACATTATTGTGCAACTTGCTCACCTGCTACTCCCTCCTCCGATGGCAAACCCAACCATGAACCGCAACACAAGGATCCACAAATAGTTGGGACTCGCAGCGGTGAGAAACCCGTAGTAGGAGATCATTGATAAAACTGTGAAAACCGTCTGTGTATGTGAGAAAATAGATATTTATATGAATGATATCAAATATAAAGGTTTATGAATTACTTGCTGTCGTTAACAGTATGGGTTAATTTGAGACGAAAAGTATTCGTTTTGTCCAGAATGCATCAACGTGTGTGAATGCTAGATGTAGACATAAATGCTTCTTCAAACAGAAATCATCAAGAAATTAGTTGAAAATACTTTATATCCAAGAGTAATCACACCAGCAACCAGTGATCAAACATACTAAGTGCTCTGATACATAATCATTTGCATGGTAACAATCGTTTAGAAGGAGAGTAATTGAAGGAAATATTTGGATTATTGATCTCTAGTCAAAATATAAAATGCATGTTCAGAGCATTTTAGATGAAGCGCGAGTAGAATTAGTCAATTGACTTGTGTTACAGATAGGAGCGTCAGTTACACTCAGCTTGAGGAACTCAACCCAATATGAGGGAACATGAGATCAAAACCCCGACGTTTAAAAGTTATGGTCAGGCCACAGCAAATATATTGACTACTTGATGCTGAAAAATATCATCAAACCTACACAAACGAAAAAGAAACCGATTTTTGATGCAACTTTCATTATAGCATGCAGGGGGTCTTAGCTAATACGTAGTGGATGGAAATCGCGCTGCATTCCTTGTTTGAATTTACATACTGCCTTTGGCTCAACACTGATGCCACCCTTTGCACTCTATACATGCAAGTCATCTGTGTATCACTTCGTAACGTCAAGTATATCTACTCGTTACTAGAGAGCAATGAGTTTTGGCACTTGACTACGCATGTATTTTTTCGTTAACAAATATAATGAATACCTTCTCAATTACATTTACTTATATTATCCATCACCAGTTGTAAGGAGTCATCCTAGACATCTCACAGGTGCTGGAATCCAACAGGATGTCTGGGTTTCATAAAAGGCTGTTACCGAGCTCCACATGTTTGATGGGCTGAAATTCAGTGTCTGTGCGCGCTGATTTCCATGTCTGCGTACCTGCCTTGACATGTTTTAAACACTACCGGCATCCAACGTCTCATTAATTCGCCGCGACGCTTTTGTAAGATAACTCAGCAGTAACCTTTTTCCTCTCTAGTACTGGATATGAAAAGAGTACCAAGTGCTAAAGTCACTGAGAGGAAGGAATTCAAACTCTAAGGAAAAAAGTAACTAACGAGGATTGGGGTTAATGTGTTCGTTGAGCATGGTACACGGATTGCAAGCGGTTCAGCAACAAACAGCCAACGTCATAAAAATATAGATGCAGACTGTTATACACAATCTGAAATTTCTAATCGTAAACCATGCACATTAACTGCCTAAATGAGTGGCATCGGAGGTTTGTGAGATTTCCATTGATCGTAAATAATCTGCACGATGTGAGATGATCTGGCACCATTTTGTTGGTGCAGTAGGCTCGCAATCTGTGAAGTCGGCTTACACAGGCTGTTCTTTTCGTTTCCGTATTGCTGACTTGCAGTCTACTTGCTTACCTCAGCAAATAGCTGAAATAGTCGACACAGAACCAAGGCTTAGAGAATTTCGAGTATGGTTGAAGTTGAATGCTATTTTGTCGTTTCCACGAACCATCTTCGTGATTGGTGAAATTCGTATTTAGGCGTGTTCCTATGGTCAATATCACCAAAGTTCTAACGAGCAATGCGATAGCTAAAATGCTGCTAAAACCTGTCGATTGAGGACATCGAATTTGGAAGGTACAGTATTTGTGGGGCACAGGAAGGAATGATAAACCATGAACTTACTGGCCATCGTCCAAATTTGTCTGAGACGTACCCCCAAATGGGAGAACCAATGAAGTAGCCGACGAATACTACCTAGAGGAAATAATAGTATTCATTGCGAGATTACCAAAAGGAAATTCGGTGAACAGGAGAAATGAAACAACTGGGTACAAAATATGGGACAAAATCACAAAAACATGGTGGTGATGGCTGAAATGTGGGCACGGATTTTTAGCAACACAGATTTGAGTGCCTACTTTCGGCCAAATATGTAACTGGTTCATACCACCTTATCATAAAAGTGGTTGTTCTGTTAAACCATACGCGATCAATCACAAAGCCACTCCGACAGTCAGCGGCCTAGCAAACATTTAACATCCATTGCCCGCAAGCATTATTTTGTGTAGCAGAGATTATGTAAATAAATAAATGCTTTACTCTAGACAATTCAAGCCTCGAATCCATAGGCATGATCATGGCAGATAGGTAACGAATGATGAGAAAATGCGCAAAAATGCCACAAACTTGTTAGTACCTTGAAGAATATATATATATATATATATATATATATATATATATATGGTTGGCGACATCGGGTTTCGGATTTGCCTGTCACTGTGGCCAGCCACAGGACGCCTGCGCCTACAGAGGGACCATGGGTGGCTTGCGCTGCACCAACCACAGCTCCAACCAAACACCCATATCCAGTGTAAACTCGAAAGAATAAGACCGGGAGTCATGTGGATGGGAGCCACGTTTCATCAACGGAGCCGGCTCACACTCCTTCACAGGCATACACAAGCACGCTGTATTTGGGGAATCAAGCGCACACAAGGCGGTGGCTGGACCGTAGTCCGCTCCACACTGAGTGCATGGAACCACTCTTTGAGCCTAACACGGCCACAAGGACCGTACACCCTGTCCCCTCCAGCAACGACCAACTGTCGCCTGGATCCAGTATAGACGAGGTAGTGAGTAATAGAGAGGTAGGCACCTTGTCAACATGTACATCAAGCGCAGCCACACGGGTGATATAAAGCAACAGCCAACCACTTGAGAGAAAGATATCAAAGAAAATAAATTGAGTAATGCATAAGGAGAAGGTGATATAGATATATATATATATATATGCGTGTGCAGAAATAATTTGGTGAGACGTGGCTCTAATCCACATGCCTCCCGGTCTTATTCCTTCGGGTTTACACTGGATGTGGGATGTGTGGATGAAACTGTGGATGGTGCAGCGCAAGCCACGCATGGTCCCTGTGTAGACACAGGCGTCTTGTGGTTGCAATATAGAGGCCGCAGTGACAGGCAAATGTGGGATGGGATGCCGCCAACCACGCATGTATATGTGCTTCATGCTGTGGTTGGGGTTACATTCAGTATGCCATTTTATCGCAGTCCCGCGAGAGTGAATTACATGTACGTTTGCTCCGCAATAGCTTAGATCCGTCTAAACTTATAAATTTCTAGTTGCCCCAATCTGTCATTCTCCACATATTCCCCGATTATTCTTTCATTTTTTCCACCGTTCCCTTGGGTCGTTGGTTAATATCCCCAGACGCACACTTGCCTAAGATTACCGTTACAATAGTTCCGCTGTAATCCACATATTGTCATTTGCTCTGTTCTCTTCTACCAGGGTATAGCAATAAGTTTCCGGGTGTATAATAAGTTTTATTTTGTTACAGCAAGTTAAGTATTACACATTCTAGTAGTACTTTCCACCAGCGTTCATGCCCAGTTCCATGTGCTATAACCATTTGGAGAAGCAATCAGTCTATTCTGAAGCGGGTAATCTGTCAAGCAGCTCAGTAAAGGCCCCTATTGCAGCTACTGGAGACTCGTAGCGGGTTGCACGCATTTTGCGCTAGACATTTGGAAACAGAGCAAAGTCACAGGGAGCCAGGTCGGTACTATAGGGGGTGACCAACCTCCTGGACGCGTCCTCTAGCCAGAAAACCTACGAAGACATGGGACCTGTGCAGGTGCGTTGTCATGGTGCAGCAAGGTTCCTCACGTGCGAGCCCTTGGACGACGCTTAGATAGAGCACATGTGGCAGACAATGAGCATCATACCAGTCTCCGGTGACTGCGTTGTCGTACGAGCGATACAGTAGCCACATGACCGCTCTTGGCCACGAACACAGTCACCATCTGCTTGGCCATACTGCGCTAGCTCCGGAATTTCTGAGGCGGTGCCCCACCAACGGCCGTCCACCGAGTCGATTGTTGCTTGATTTCTGGGTTGAAACTGTACACCCAGGTCTCATCACCACTGAGGATCTCCCAAACAGCATTGAAACGTCCACCATCAAACACGGCAAGCATGGTGCAGCACAATTCGCACGAACTGCTTTCTGATCCTCACTGAGCTGATGAGGTACCCAGGTTGCGCAATCCTTTCTTATTCCGAGGATCTCATGTAGCATGAGGTGGATTGATCCCGATGACTTCCCCCAGCTGCACCACAGTCACCCGCGCGTCCTCTTTCAGGATCGCTTACACAGCAGTGTGGTGGTGGCCTCCACAGATCCACCACACCGTGCCTCATCATCCAGGGACCGCCTGCCACGCTTGAATTCTGCGAAGCACTCAAAGGCAGTGCTTCTTGAAGGTGCATCATCGCCAAACTCAGCGCGCAATCGAGCAACACTTTGCAAGCGAGCAACACATTTGCAGTCATAAAATCATCGTCCTACGGTGAGATCGACTGTGTTCTCTACTTAGAGACTATAGCTGTGCTGTGCTGTTGATATAGGATTCTACTAGTTCAAATCACTGAATGATGTTTAAAATGGATTACAGTTTACATTTTTCTTTCCAGGTCAGCTGCACGTAATTTGTGTACTGCGTATCCCGAAACTTAGTGCTCTGACCTCATACCTCCGCACCTTTAATGTCCGGTTTCGTGCTTATTTTATTTCATATTACGCGCTTGATGTCTAATATCCTCGATGGGGTTGCGATTGAGGTAAATGTTAACAAGGTGCCTGCCAGTCTAACACCCCCACCTATATTACTGGCTCCAGTAGATTGTGAGTTGTTGCTAGAGGGCAAGTTGCACTATAATCGTGACTGTGCTATGGTTAAATAGTGGTTCCATCCAGTGGAGAGAGGACTACGGCCCAGGCCCCAAGTAGATAGAGGAATGCTGCTGCTGTGCATGTTAATGGATCCGTTGATGAAATGTGGCCACCATGCTTAAGTGTCCAGCTATTGTCCCCCTGGGGTTTGCTTCGCATATGAGGTGTGTGGATGCAGATGTGGGCGGTGTGCAACCCAAGCCACCCATGGTTCCAGTTTTGGTGCAGACTTCCTGTGGCTGATCCTATGGAGGCCGCAATGATGGCAAATCCGAACGCATATTCAACTGTTAATCATGCAGGTCCGGAGTCACCACCCATGCCTAAGTGGCACTAGCTGCGGGCATTCGGAAGTTACGGGGTCGAAACCCGGCAGGGGTCCGAGGAAGGCGCATCACTGACGAGACCCAGAAGGTCGAAACAATGTTGGCTAGTGCTTTTCCAGCCATGCCAACGCCTGCTGACTGAGAGTGGACTATGATGAGTTAGCACTGAAATCCGGAAACGGATGCCGCTACTGTATATGTGCGAAGCTTGGGGCGGAAACTTACCTTACCGAGTCTGATGAAGCGTTACAGCTATAGCTTCCTCTCTGACACATCTGCCCGAACTTTGAGCGCATCACTGTATGCAAATGAGCGTAAGAAAATTGAATAACCTAAAGTCCACTCTTTGCGAGCTTTGTCCCTAACTTGTGTTCGTAAACGTGACGCTGTATTTTTGATTGTGCTAGACAGCGTCGCCAGTGTGTGAATGAGTCAAAGGAATGCTTCGAGATTTATGACTGACGTCTGTGAAGTGGATCATCCGGAAGCAACGAACAGTGACTGCAGTTGTTGGCGCGTCACATCCGCCATGTGGCAGTATGGTTAAACAGACATAAGTGGGTTCTTATAGGTAGAACATTTACCAGGTGAAAACTCTTCCCGTCGTGGAACACTGGTGCCGAACTATTTGACTGAATCACGGGGAATGCTGATCCTCAGCAAACCAAAAATTCCCATTTATTAGAATGAATCAACGGAGGCAGAATTTGAGTAAAGAATTCTTTTCGGCAATTCTCATCAGACTCAAACATTACATGATGAGGAAAATGCTAAATGTGCCGGATTGGGCTGCGTATTGAACACAAGGTTTAATTTCATGGGTACAAATCAATAAATCACGGGGTCATTGTAGGTGGCAAGTATGTACAGGGGAAATCACATCCGAAGTTATAGGCCACGGTAGAAGTAAAGGACGTACAAACTGTTTTTGTACGCATAATTCTGGCTTGAGATGGCGGATGTAGATAGCTTCCAAGATAGACAGAAGATGCATCCGGAATCCGCGCGTGAAACGTTCAGGAACAGTATAGATGACTCTAAAATCATTTTCCGTTCCTGCGTGACTGCACTCTAGAAGGTGAGATAGGATGGAACTGTTACTCGACCTCGCTTCGCCTTTGTAAAACCATTTTGGGATGTGTTCGCGAATCCTATGAGATACGTGGGTCGTACCACGAGACGCCTATCTCATAGGATTCGCGAACACATCCCAAAATGGTTTTACAAAGGCGAAGCGAGGTCGAGTAACAGTTCCATCCTATCTCACCTTCTAGAGTGCAGTCACGCAGGAACGGAAAATGATTTTAGAGTCATCTATACTGTTCCTGAACGTTTCACGCGCGGATTCCGGATGCATCTTCTGTCTATCTTGGAAGCTATCTACATCCGCCATCTCAAGCCAGAATTATGCGTACAAAAACAGTTTGTACGTCCTTTACTTCTACCGTGGCCTACAATTTCGGATGTGATTTCCCCTGTACATACTTGCCACCTACAATGACCCCGTGATTTATTGATTTGTACCCATGAAATTAAACATTGTGTTCAATACGCAGCCCAATCCGGCACATTTAGCATTTTCCTCATCATGTAACGTTTGAGTCTGATGAGAATTGCCGAACTATTTGTTGGAATGTGGTAAACGCGAACCACCCAACGCATATGTGCTTGCCTTGAT